GTTGTAAACCCTGCTCTGGATAGGAGGTCTTCCCTGATTCTGGTTCCTTAGGCACTCTCTCGTATAATGTTGGGCATTACCACATATGCGACAAGTGTTGTTGAGGCGGTAGCATGGTCAGTCCCCGTGATCCCTACACTAATGCTGACAGATCTTACCACATCCTGCCACTGGAGCCTGAGGGGGAGCCTGGATCACCAGTCTGGGCCTCTTGTTCTGTTGGACAGGCGCAGTAGGTGCTGGTATGCGGAGTGAAGCTGAGGGTCTGTGGTTCCTTGTTGACTGAGGGAGGGTGTGGAGGCTCCTCTCCACTAACTATGCCTTGGCCAAAACGGCTGAGTATGTCTTGAGCTCCAGTACAAATAGGTGCTGCTTCATCTCTGGGCTGAGGCCCCACTGGAACCTCCTAGCCTTCTTGCCCTCATCCATCAATGTTTCAGGGGAGTATCGGCCCAACTCCAGGAACTTACAGACATATTCTGACACCATCATGTTTCCCTAGACCAACTGGACAAACTCCATCTTCTTAAGATGTCGGATGTGCTTTGGAGGGTACTATGCATGGAAGGCTGCTAAGAGCTGTTCCCAAGTGACTGGAACAGGCAGGGTGGTCTAATTGAGTTCCCACCAGCGGTCTGCTTCTCCCACCAGAATGTAAGTAGCAAGGGTGACCCTGCTCGGGAGTCACTCCTAGGGTCTTGAAGGCCTTTTTCGTCTCCGCTAACCAATACTATGCATCTTCAAAGGAGGATTCCCCTGCAAAAGTAGATGGGTTCAGTCTCCTGTACCTCTCTACATAACCTGGGTCAATCATGGAAGGAACTGAGTCCCGCGGAAGAGGGACTGAGCCAGGCTAAGGATAGACTAGGGGCCCTGTGGTGGCACTTGCTGATATTGTGGGGGCACCGGATTATACTGTGGCGATGCCAGGCAGTACTGTAGCTGGGGCACCGAATTATACTGCAGCGGTGGCACCGGGTGGTACTGTGGAGGAGCAGGCTCGTACCAGGGTGGCTCGGGATTCTCTCGCTGCAGTGGTGGCTCAACCTGTGGCAGCGGGGGAGGGTCAGGTAGCTCCCTTCTCTCCTCTCGGCCCTGCTGGGCAGCAATGAGTCTCTCCAGCATCTCAGATATTTTGTCGACATCTTTTCGAAGCGAACCATCCCGGGCTACTCGATTTAGTGGGGGTCTTCCTCTTCTCATCTCTTCGTACCTGTATTTCACAAGGAATGATTGAGTAATAATTCATTGGTTTAGTGTTTCTCTAAGTATCATTGTGTAAGGAACGAGTTCGAGGAACGCAGCTCTGATACCAACTATAACGACCTCAGAAATTCAAAAAGAAATATATATAATAATCTGAGTGCAGAAACGAAATAAAAGATTTAGGTTAATATCCATTACACAATAACTTAAAAATACTAAACAATATCAAAGAATAAGTTCTCTAAAAGAAATACTATAAATGAAAGAAGTATAAAGAAAACTATAAGACATCTAGCATCTACTCGCCGTTCTCTTGTGGATCGGGCTCGGGAACCAAATCCTCCTAATATGAAATGGTTAAATAAAGAATGAGATACACTTGCCCAGTAAGAACATCACACTATTCACCGTCACAGAAGTAAAGGTTGTTAAAAAATAAAAAACAACTAATGGAGTACAAATTTTAAACAAATTTATTTATCAATAATCGAACAATTTACCATCTATTTACCTCAATGAGATTTATAAAAAACGATATATAGAAATAATAACATCATAAATATCATGAATTCATACAAAATCTGTAATATAGCACATGTCACACTTTTATATTTCAATCATCAAACAACAGTTGCCCTCTTTTCATCAGCCTACTAGTATCCATGGAGATCCATAGGGGTCCCCGCTACACATGAACCATTCCTTTAACAAATTTAATTTTCAGGACCGACTCCATAACTTGTCCGGTAGGGGCGCCAAACAATAAACCTCAATATCCCATCCGATATGAGGGTGAAATGGGCCGTCCCAATACCCCGTCCAGTATGAGCACCAAACCATTTAAAGTCTCCATACCCCGTCCGGTATGAGACAACGTTCCCGGTAGGGTTTCTTATGGACCCGATCCGTCCACCATCTCCTAGGATATCTAGTGAGGCTGTCATCTTATCCAATTATCAATTCGCATCCCTTTCCTATTTTTTTCTTAGTCTCCGTTACTCATTCAAACATGAATACTTAAACAAGTAACGTGCATCC